TAAATGGCTAGGCCTCTCTGCATCAAGGTAATACTTATGTCTTGTTCTATGCAAAATAAATTCAACCTTGGAAATTGATAAGAGCTTATGTTCTTCCTTTAAAGACCTCAGGATGACCATTTGATCTTCTGAAAAACGTTGTTTTTGCAAATTTTCTAATGATTTATTCTTGTTTTCTAAATCATTAAGGTGCTGATTCTGTAATTTAGAAAGAGTGGAGGAGAATGATATACAAAAACCCCTAATAAAACACTTGGTTGCCTCCCATAGCATCTGTGGATTACTACTGTTAGGTTTGTTAGTAGATATGAAAACCTGTAACTCAGCTTTAAGTGAGATAAGAAACTTTGAGTTAGTCAGAAGCGAGCTATTGAAGCGCCATCTGGGAGCCTTGATCATTTCAGGGAGGAGAAAACTGCATAACACAGCTGAATGGTCAGACAGTAAAATTGGCAAAATTGTAATAGAGGCCTCTGTTGAGACAAGGGAAGGACTAACAAAAATATAATCGATCCTGGAATAAGACTTATGTCTATGTGAATAAAATGTATATTCTATAAGTGTATTATTTTTAAAACACCATAAATCAATAATATCAAGGTCTTCAGCAAATTGATTCAGAAGTCTGGAAGATAGAGGGCTATGAGTATCAGGGCAAGATTTATCCAGCTTAGGATTCATCACAGCATTAAAGTCACCACCAACCAAAAGGTGAGAATCAGATAACTCCAATAGAATATTACAAAGTCTATTTAAAAATCCCCTATCTGACTCATTGGGGCAATAGACAGAAGCCAAAACTAGCCGGGCTGTGCCCAATCTAACTTTCATAAGAGCGAATCTACCTTCTTCATCATTCCTCATGTGGTCAATGGATAAGGGCAGCCTCCATTCAACCAGTATCGCTACACCTTTAGTTCTATTGGGAGCAGATGAAGAAACAGCAAGCTTATAGTACTTATTTTGAAAGCGAAATACATCACAGTGTTTTAAGTGTGTCTCCTTTATTAGAGCTATTGAGACAGATTTTCGATGTAAATATTCCAGAACTCTTGTTCGTTTCACTGCTGAATTAAGCCCATTTACATTAAAAAAGGAGTAGAATTAATTCCTCCGAGAGAAATAGACAAGGAGGGAAAAGTGACATTGATGCACCCATAATCACACAGCTGCCGCATTCTAAAAGAGTTTGAAGTCTGTTGCTAGGGGGAGGAGGGAAACTAGATACAAAAAGAGCACAGGCCGCACAGAAGCTAATTCTATAGGTGTGTGAAAAACAAAAATATTTACTGATCCGTGGCATGTCTGCCGCAACCCACAGTAGCTGAGCTCAACCCACACATCCCACAAGAAAGAAGATTCAACACCAATAACCAGTCTTGCTTCCATTTTAACCAGCATGTAATCAAACAACACAAATGTGCCTTTATGGTTCATGGTTCACCTTATAAAAGTAAGTAAGCAAGTTGAAAAGTTCAAATTGTTAAAAGGCAGTTTTCAGAGAGGGGTGAACCAACAAAACAGCAAAAAGTTCGACCGATAGATACTTAACTTTCATCCATATCCCCCACACGTTTGTCAGCTGTTGTCTGCGGTCCGGTCACACTCGAACTTGAATCTTGTTGCTGATCATTGATGCAGCGTTGCGTTGATTCTGACTGGATTTCCCGCCAAGATAGCGTTTGAACAAAGTTCTCTGCTTTTTGGGGGCAGTCAAACATCATCATTTTTCCATTGTGCTGCAACTTCACTGTTGCAGGGTAAAGAAGGAAAGGGTGCAGGCCCATAGCGACCATTTTCTTAATGACTGGATTAAAGCTCTTTCTTTTCGCCGTTGTTGCTGGGCTGAAGTCGGGGAAAAACAGCAGCGTATTTTGCGCATGCTTTACTGGATATGCCTTTCGAGCTCCATTGAGAATGGCCGCTCTATCCTGCCATCTTAAGACCCTAAAAATGAGGGTACGTGGTCGACCGGTGTCGTTCTCCCTACCATCATATACACGATGTGCACGGTCGATTTCAATGTCCCAGCCTTTCAGTGTTGGAATCCAGTTGGAGATATTGGTACGAAGATAACCTGCCACATCTGAACCTTCCACTGCTTCTGGTAGACCCACCAACCATATGTTATTCCTTCGGCTTCTGTCTTCCAGGTCCGTCATCTTGTCGGTAAGTTTATCTATTTGCCCTCTTAGCTCTGTAACTGCACATCTGTCTTCTCTTGCCGCAGCCTGAATAGAATCCACTCTATCATGGGTCTGTTTAACTGCTCTAGCCTGTAGCTCAAGTTCAGAGCTCAAAGTCTGGATAGACTCGTTAGTTTTATGCAAGCTCACTTGAATATCGCGCAACCCAGGAGTCATAACCGAGTCCACAGCCTCCCTAACCGCTGCAGCAACAGCTGAATCAAGCGTAGGTCGTTGTTCATTGAGAGCTAGCCTAATACCGTTAGCAATGGCGGCATCAAGCTCTTCTTTAGAGATAGATGAATCTTTGAATTTTTTCTTCATAGGTGAGTGCTCACCGTCTCTTTTTCTGGTCTCCATGTGGTCTGAAGTATTGGTAATGCAAAAAATGAAGCAAGTCCGTTATTTTGTCAGGATGGACGAAAGATTGTGGGTTTGTGAGCAGAGCTCAAAACTTTACGTGCATTGCCACCGAGAGGTCACGTGATCTCCCAAATGCCGACTAAAGCCTTCTTCAGACTGCTAGCCAGAATCTGATTTTTGGCATATCCAAATTGTATCCAGATTGATTTTTAAAGTGTGAACAACAAAAAAACACATGAAATCAGATTTTTCCAAATCGGATTCAAACCATATTTTGTGGTGGTTTAAAACGCGATTCCATTTGGATTTTTATAGATGCGTCTCAGTCTGGACACTCTGGACACTCAAATTGGATTTCAAAGTGTCTTTTGTGTAATCTAATTTGAGGAACAAATCTGATTTGCCTTCAGTCTGAACACAGCCAAGTAGCTGTAGTTTCCCCAATACACCATTTTTTATTACCAGGTTTCATTATCACATTTCCATGACTTTGATTCAAACTTTGATGAAGTACAGAAGGTAATTCACTCTGGAATTATTACTTAACAGACATTTGAGATTAGTACTGGATAAAAATGGTGTATTTTGTTGGTATTCCCTCAAATTATAGCACTTCCTCAGATAAAACTAATTGTACTCCAATAGGGCATAGACAATTGTGCCCAAGAACCAAGTATGTAATAAACCATTAACATCTAAACATTTAATCTTTTTTTCCACATGCCAATCTTTTAGGATGCTGTCACCACATATCTAATTCTAACACAGGCTGAACTGGTAAATTTAAAACACAACACACCATCATGGTGAAAATAAATGGAAAAAATGAAAACTAATTAACTGAACTCAAAAGACTGCTAAGAATTCTGGGACTTGACACTATTTGTATTGCGGCGTTGGTGTAGAATAAGACATTGCGCTGATAGCCAAATGCTCTTTTACTAGGTAAATCCCACTTGTGACACCAGTGTGATGTCGGAATAGAATAAGACATAGGAAACAATGCATTTACAGGCAGATGCTCTTTTATTGAACAGGAAGCAAGGGAAAACCGCCAGCCCAACGCTTTTTACTGGGAGCATAGCACCTCCAAAGAGCCTCTTTGCATGGCCATGCCTCCTGAGTTCCCACAGCAGCATGGCCAGTGGCAGATGCCACAATGTTGTTAGGGACAGTGAGTTTCTGCTGTTTATTTGAATTTAAGAAGTTTGACCATTGCACATTGAATCATATTTGTCAGTTCACTGTTGAATCATGTCAGTAAAGCACTGTTTAACTATTGCAGTATGTTTCATTTTTATCCATCTAAAAGTCTAACGTTATCTCTTGTTTGTACTTGTCTGATGTAAACAAAGTCATTCAGAGTGGTTTGTTGTGAGACATGATGTGTGATGGAGACAGTAACAGAAATACCAGAAGAAATGGTCATTCAAAAACTAAAAGAAAATACACTGTATACTTTTTAATTCATTCCTGAAAACCAGAAATACTAACAAAGTCAGAAAGATAGAGAGAAGCTGAGATGACACAAAAAGTCTCTAACCATAGTATACACAGCTAAATAATGCATCAACATGCTCATTTTAAGTAGGGATAGCAGCCACACAAAACTTATGCATGGTTGGAGAACGGCCCTTGTCAAGTATCATAGTACCACAGAGACTAAGTACTGCACATGTTTATGCCACTTATTTGCACATCACACAAAAAGCATTTTCTTATGACAGACAGGTCCCATGCACCTTCTCATATCTGTCTTTTTCACAGCAGTTTCACAGTCCATCGGCCACAATTCTAAACTAGCAGCAAAAGATGTGAGTGCTACTGGATGAATGTGGATGAACTGGATGATCTGGATGAACATGTTTGAGTGGGAGCTACATGGTGGACCCCTCAGGAGAAGCAACAGCAATGTGAACCACAGTCTAGCAGTCTTGTGCGAATGCCACAAGTATAACACTGTGTTTGCAGTGCTGAGTTAGCTGATAGTGGGCTAATACATCTGGGCCCAGCGGACTAGGTGGCTTTGACAGGAAAAAAAACAGAGATAACGGTGAGTTCAGTCTGCAGTAACCAAAGCATCCACTGGTGCCATAGTAGTGGCAGAAAATGTTTCAGTGCCAGAACAGTCTATATGGCCACTGACTTGGATCCCTAATGACCCCCCAAAAAACCTCTGCACTACTGCTCCCCAACCTGAAAGGGATATGTGAGTTGTAACTACTTTGCTACAAGAAAGGATTGTTACGGCAGAAAAATAACAAGGATAAAATACTCTCTAAAAATGTCTCCAAAGTACTAGAAGTACTGTGTTTGTGCACTGCCTCTGGTGGTGAGAAAAAGCAAAAAAGTACTGCAGTTTACCTTTACCTATACACTATATTAGTTACCAGAGTCATTTACTACACAGTTTTATCCAAAATATTTAACTAGGTAAGAAGAAAGGCTTACCAATAACGGATACACAGCCGAGTGGAGCAATGAGGGAGGCTGGAGCAAATCCGTACGCTGCAAAGTTGCCCAGCTCCCCAAGTCCCATGAGCAGGATACCACACCACCATAGCCGGCTGGTATAATATGGCTTGGTGCCCCGTTGGGATTGCCGTATGTGGGTGTACTTCTACAGAGAGAGAGTAGATTACCAGTGTTGGAAATTGTTTTATTTTGATGTATTTTCTAGTTTTTTGTTTACTTTGCTTTGCTTCAATTGTTATTCATTGTTAAACAGTATTAATGCTGAAGGGTTTAAGAAGCCACCTCCATTTCTGTTCTCGTGGTTTGAACAATTACACCAAATGGCCTTAGAACACCCCTAAGGAGGATGTGCTGGGGCAGAACACAATAAGGTATTTACAACAAGATTCAAATGTCCCACACTGTTCTGTATGACTCTATTGGGGGTGGGGGGGTGGTCTGTTGCATGGCATAAAAGCTGTGTGTCTGAGCTGCTGTTCAGATTGGGGTTGGCACTAAGGCAGGAATACTGAGCGCTCTTTTTTTAGTAAAACCATCATTATTTCTGCAACCCCTGGTCTCCTGAATCTCTTCCATGGCAAGATCAAAGATTTACAACACCAGCATGCAGTTTATATCTAACCCACATGTTGTTTTTAGAATCTCACTGACCTGGATGTTCAGTGAGATACTGATGAGAAAGTTGCCACATACTGCAATGATGATCCCCAGGATATATATCTGAAAACACACACAAACACTGCACAGGTAAAATACATTAACTCTTACTTGCACTCCTAGCTGTGAGTGTGTTTATGACTTTTGTTTGTTTCCAGTTTTAATGAATTTAATAATAAAACAGCATGTAAGAACTCTGATCAATCATGTTTTAAATTATTTCCAATATAAATTATTTGAAAATTAATTTAAATTGCAAATAATTTATAAATATTATATGTAAAATATATGTTTATAAATTATTTTAAATTTCTTTTCCTGGATCAGGGCCTTGGCATGGTAGAAGGGCTTGTGTGGTCCAGGGATCTTCAGACCTAAGTCGTCTGGAGCAGTATGCTCCTGGTGGGGGCTCCCAAGGTGAACAAGTCTGGAGTGAAGACTCAGACTAACACGATCCAAAATCCCTTATGATCAGAGGATGCAATATATCATATACCCTGCCTGGGAGAGGGTTACCGGGACCTACCCATGGAGCCAGGCCTGGGGGTAGTGTTCCTCGGCAAGTGTTTGGTGGCCGGACAGCCCACGAAGCCTGGCCGGGTTTCACCCGGAGGGGCAACGTGGGGGGACCATTGGGCCCACCACCTGCAAGGTTCAGTATGGGGGAAAGGTGCAGTGCCTTATAGGCATTGGGAGATGGTGGGATGGTCCCTGGCGGCATTGACCCCTGTGGCGGAAACTGGTTCTTGGTCATGAGAACCATGACCTCACCGAAGGGGAAGGAGCCAGAGCTTGTGCGGGAGGTTGAGAGGCACCATCTAGTTACAGTTGGGCTCACCTCCATTCATAGCGTGAATTTAAACCTGAAATTAAACTCCTTGATAAGATAATATAAGATGAGATAAGATACTCCTTTATTAGTCCCACAAATTTACAGTGCTAGAGCAGCAAAGGGATACCAAGGCGCTAAAGAAAAGAAGTAAAATGAAGAGAATTAACAAACAAAGTAATTTACAAGGTTACAGTTTATTACTTATTGTTGTATTGATAATATATATAATACTAAAAATAACTCTTGATCTTCACATACACTCTCTTAGAAAATGTACAATATAAATGTTATAAATAAAAAAGCAAAAAAAATTATAGTGTATAGTATAGGATATTTTACCCGAATTGCACATGAAGTATTGATTATATTGCACATGGGACTGGTGACGAATGAACAATATAAACATTAGAAATAGAAAAGGCAAAAAATCTTTACACCATAGAGATATTTTACACATATTGCACATGGAGTATTGATTATATTGCACACAGATATGGTGATGAATACACAGTTGTGGGGACAGGGTTCTACTGGGAGCAGCACTGGTTGTACAGTCTAACAGCAGCAGGAAGGAAGGACCTGCAATAGCGCTCCTTCATACACTTGGGGTGAAGCCGTCTGTCACTGCAGGAGCTGCCCAGTGCTGCCAGAGTCTCATGCATGGGGTGGGAGTTGTCATCCAGCATGGACGCTAGTCTGGCTAACATCCTCCTGTCTCCCACCACCTGGGCCTGTCAAGTTTTTTTCTGTCTGCAGTTGAGATGCTGCTGTCCAAGCAGACCACTCCATAAAAAATGGCTTATGCCACCACAGTGTCGGAAAAAAGGTCCTCAGGAGTGCACTCCAAACAACCTCAGTCTTCTAAGCAGGTAGAGTCTGCTCTGGCTTTTCCTGTAAAGTGCACTAATATTATCTCACCAGTCCAGTCTGTTGTTGAGGTGAAAACCCAAGTACTTATAAGAGTCCACTCTCTCAATGTCCATTCCCTGGATGTTCACTGGGGGAGGGAGGGGTCTGCACCTGTGGAAATCCATCACCATCTCTTTGGTCTTCCCCATATTGATCAGGAGCTGGTTCCTCAGATGCCAGTCCACAAAGTCCTGGGTCTGTTCTTTTTACTCTCTGTTGTCCTCTTCTGTAATGAGGCTGATGATTGTGGCGTCATCAGAGAACTTCTGTAGATGATGATTCGGTGAGCTGTACATGAGTATGCAGTGTACAGGGTGAAAAGGAACAGTGCCAGGACTGTTCCCTGAAGGGCCCCTGTGCTACTGACCACCATGTCAGACACACAGTCCTGTGCCCGCACATATTGTGGTTGGTTGGTGAGGTAGTCCAGAATCCAATTTAACAGGTGGTGATCCAAAGTCCTACAGCTTGTTCCTTAGGAGCCTAGGCTGAATGGTGTTAAAGGCACTGGAGAAATGAAAGAACATAATTCTCATAGTGCTCCCGGGCTTCTTAAGGCGAGAAAGAGCTTTGTGTGGGAGATAGATGACTGCATCATCCACTCCAATGCCAGGTTGATAGGTGAACTGAAGTGGGTCCATAGATGAGAGAGGAGATGAGCAAGGACCAGACTCTTTAGCGTCTTTATCAGGTGCAACATCAGTGAGACCGGCCTGTAGCTGCTGAGGTCCTTCAGGTGCTGCGTCTTCGGCACTGGTACCACACAAGATGTTTTCCACAGTTGTGGTACCCTTCTAAGCTTCTGGCTTACATTGAACATGTGTCCAACCATTCCACACAGCTAATCTGTATGGGTAGGGGGGTTGGGCTGACAGCAGGGGAACCAGTGGGGGCGAGGTTGTGGAGAGGGGGCAAATGTGGGAGAGGGGGCCGGGCAGTACACTGGGAGTGCAGAAGAGGGGGGTTGCAACAGGGATAACTGTGTAGGGGGAGGTGAGTGATCAAATCTATTTAAAAATAGTTTGAGATCATTCACCCACTTTTGGTTCACTACAACCTGGAAGTCGGTTTTCTTGTGGCCAGAGATTGTTTTAAGGCTTTTCCAGACCCCACTGATTTTTGTTTTTCTGCAGCTGTTCCTCCATCTTCTTCCAGTAGCTGGCCTTCTTCCTGTAGGGGTTGGTCAACTCTCTTATTCAGGAGTTGCACAGTGTGAGAGGTGCCAGGCAGGTGTAGGGATACTTACAAGACCCTGGCTGGCTGCTGTGCAGTTGGAGTTTGTCCCGGTAGACAAGAGCGTCGCCTCAATGTGAATTTACATTGTAGGAGGGAAACTGTAACTGTTGTGTATGCATAAGGACCAAACAACAGTTCTGAGTATTCTGCCTTTTTGGAGTGAGTGGGTAGGGTGGGGTTCTGCAAAGGGCCCCATTATGTCTGTAGGTGACTGGGAAACCCAAATGGCAAATTGTTATTGGACTTCTGTGCTAGTCAGGGATTGTCCATAACGAAAACAAAAAGTTTGAACACAAGAATGTTCATAAGTGTACCTGGTACCAGAGATACTTGGGTCAAAGTACTTTATTGTCATTTCATCTGACTTGGGACTATATGTTCTGGACACTCAAGTGGAAAGAGGTGCTGAGCTGTCAACAGATCACCATCTGGTGATGAGTTGGTTTAGATGGCAGGGAAGACAGGCTGTCAGACTTGGTAGGCTCAAGCGAACAGTGAGGGTGTGCTGGGAGCGACTGTCAGAGGCCCCTGTTTGAAATTATTTTAACTCCCTCCTCCAGGAGAATTTTTCTCATGTACTGGACGAGGTTGGGAACACGGAGTCTGAATGGATCCTGTTCAAAACCTCCATTATGGATGCAGCCAGGTGTAGCTGTGGCCAAGAGCTTGTTGGTGCTTGTCTGAGCAGCAACCTAAAACCCCCTGGTGGACACCAGTGGTTAGGGAGGCCTTCAAGCTGAAGATGGAGGCCTTTAGGGACTGGTTGGCCCAGAGGTCTCCTGACTCAGCAGTTAGGCACTGACAGGCAAAAAAGGCAGCAGCAGTGGCGGTGGCAGAAGTAAAATCCAGAACATGGGAGGAGTTTGGAGAGGCCATGAAAAAAGACTTTTGGTTGGCTTCAAGAAGGTTCTGGACAACCATCTGGTGACTCAGGAGTGGTGAGGGTGGCTTCGCTTAAGCTGTATTCAGCAGAGGTGGAGAAACTCTGATTTCAAATGAGTATACTGTTGGTTGGTGGAAAGAGCACACTGAGGAACTCCTAAACCCGAGAGACATGCCTCCCTCACAGTACTCAGGACCAGAGGCTTCTAGGGTGTCAGACTCCATTTCCTCACCTGGAAAAGGTGGCATGCCCCTCCACGTAAGGGAAGTAGACCTGTCCCAGGTGGAGGAGTATAAGTATCACAAATGACGGGAAGAGAGATTGTAGCAGCCACAGGCTGGGACAGGCAGCAGCAGTAATGCAGTTGCTGTACCAGACTGTAGTGGTGAAGAGGGAGCTGAGCTATAAGGCACAACTCTCTGCTTACTGGTAGGTCTACACCCCACCCTCACCTATGGTCACAAGCTTTGGGTAATGACCGAAAGAATAAGATCATGGACACAAGAGGTGGAAATGAGCTTGGTTTGCAGGGTGGCGGCCTACACTCTATTTGATAGGGAGAGGGTGAGGCCCAAAGTAGAGCTGCTGCTCCTCCACATTGAGAGGAGCCAGTTGAGTTGGTTCGGGCATATGAACAGGATGCCTTTTTAACTATTATTCTTTTCAAAAGCTCTTTATAGCCATGGTTATACAACAACTGGATATACAGATTATCAATCTGCTGTGAATGAACTCTCACAGTAGCATCATTTTTTCCATGAGATGTTTCCTTGACCTTTGAAATGGACTGTGAACATCTCTGCGGACTATGACTATGAATGCCTAAGCAACATTGACGTTAAACTCTACTGTGTGGAACTAAAGCATTTAAAATGTGTACAATTTTGTGTTTTGTGAGTGAATAAAAAAAATAACTTGAGATGGGACTGTGTGAATCAGTTTGACAGGGTTTAAGGACAACTGGCATGCGCACATAGACACACACAAAAGGACCAATTTCACAAATCATACTAACACAACCAGAAAAATAAAATTGAGGGCAAGCAAACAAACTTTATAAGGTTATCTTATCAATTCTCACCAAAACAACTATAAGAAAACAGACATAAACACGAAAATCACTGATCATAAGCACTTCTAGCAAAGGCTTCACCGTCTCTTACTATAAATGTTAAAGTGGAATTCCACTGTTTTTCTTACATTTCTGCACAATTTATGAGATGTAAAGTTCAGGTCTGATGTGAGTGGGGCATTGTAGAATATAGAATATACACTTATATGGCCAATTATTTGCTATCCAAAATGACAAGTGAACAAGTGAAGATTTTTGGGGTACTATTTGCTTCTTAACACCCTGCATGTCTATACCCTTGTCTTGAATGGATTTTAAAAACTGTGTTAGACCAAAACTTTCTCAAAACTATTGCAATTCAGTGTCTCCGGCATCAGGTGACATATCTGTAACCATTTAATTTAATAGCTTTCATTGATAGCTTTCAGAGTGATCAAAGGCTTTGGATATCTTGTGCCTATAACCACCACTGTGAACAATTTTGACAGTTCTGAATAAATTTGTTGACATTGTAATAACTAAATTATGCGTTTAATTTAATTTTGGATTTAGTTTAATTTTGACAAATCAGTGCAATTACTCTCTAGCACTATTAGCCCATTGAGATGAGCTGTACATCAGCACTCAATAGTCATGTTCTGTATTTGATTTCAAGATATAAGGGAAATTTCCTGTATGAACTTAAAGTTGGCTTGAAAAAGCCAGCTAATTACATTAAATTGCCAAAATAGTGGAAGACTATTAATGGTTGCTAAAGTATTGCTTAGATGTTGCTAGGTGGTTGCTATGGAATTACAGTTTTTTATGAATGCTTACATGCTAAAGTTAGAAAGAACACATAGTTAGTGAAACAGGACACTGAAAAAGCAAAACCTCAACCCAGATCTGCGCAACTACAAGCACATTCTCAGACTACACACAGTGTTTTGCGCATCACTAAACACACTTCTCTACATTAGACACAGAAATCTAACATGATGTCACTTCTTTGCCATTTCAAGGCACAGCCTTTCAAAATACCACACCTGTGAACCAACTGATCAAACATGGCCTTCAGGTGTACAGAAGCTTAGGTGCGTAATTGTAAACTCACTAATCAAGTATAAGCACTGTAAAAAGGCAAAAGGTGAGGTTTTTTTTTTTATTCATGCTTTCTTTTTTGTGTCCACAAATTTTTTGCTGTGTTTATGTAACATATTCTATTTAGAAAATGTTCTGTTCTGAGTTTCAGTGCAAAATGCAACCTTTGGGAATGTATGGATTTATTTATTGACTGATGTTACAATGTGGAGAGGAGAAAAATATTCTTCAGTGTGCAGGGATGGGGTGTAATGGAATACAAGTATTGGGAAAACATATTTAGAGTACACAAATAAAGTATCTGCATTCAGTCCAAGTTACATTTTGTAAAGACAGTATTCAGAATACAGTTACTCTTTACATTTTTAGAAAAATACTTTTAGAATACATTCCCAGTAAATACAAAAAAATCTAATCTTCAAAAGAAACAGCGTTGATGCTTGTTTTTAAATCAGCGCACTGCATGTAGAAAACATGGTCATTAGATGAACCCCTTAAAAGAACCTCAATTAACAGTTTTTATACCAAAAGAAGCCTGAGTAGACTGCTAAATTAATGTGAAGAGTCAGTTATTAATCTCAGTGTTACTGGGCTCTGCTAAAGCCTGAGTAGACTGATAAATCAATGTGATTGGTTATTAATCTCAGTGTTACTGAGCTCTACTAAAGCCTGAGTAGACAGAAAAATCAACATGATCTGTTGTTAATCTCAGTATTACTGAGCTCTGCTAAAGCCTGAGTAGACTGATAAATCAATGTGATGATCAGTTATTAATCTCAGTGTTACTGAACTCTTTTGAGGGATGATCGAACTAATAATCTCATAAGTAGTGGAAATATTTATAAGTGATAAGTTTATCATCAGTGTTGTACTGGATTTTTTCACAGGGGATTGTAGGATTGGTAGACTGAAGCAGGTAGTGAAAAAGAAAAAATGTTAAGAATTTGTAATCTTCATTTAAATGATAAATGAATGTTTACAGGATAGATTACAGGATAAAAACTCCTCACAAGTGACAGCAAGGAACAATGTGAATTAGTAAGAAAAAATACAATGTTTTCCCCATGTACTATATCAAGATGCATCCTAAATGCATTCTAAATGTATTCTGAATATGTTTTTTTTATATATATATATTATAATGGAATCCAATACTGAATACATTTTTTGAAAAGTTTTAGCCATCACTACTTTTTTAAAGTTGCCCAACACTGTCAGTACTGGTCTTGTGTGCTGTGTTTGGTTATTCATACATTTTACTCTAACAATATCTTTGAATAAAATCAAACCCTACATTGTCAGAAAAGCAAAAATGTTTAAGGTGTTTTAGATTGAGCATAGCAGTGTGTAACTGGTCCAAACATAATCAGATTGTATGAACTCTGTGTGCACCATACGGTGACAAAATTTGGTTTTTATACATTATAATTATACATTGTTTTGAATGAAATGTTTTATTTTGCATACAATCTGAGGTGTTCTGCTGCATGTGTGTGTGGCTGTGTGAATTGTGTGTAGTGTTTGGACAAAATGACCCCTGTTTTTAAAATCATGCCTAAGCAATTGTAAAAAACTGTAAGAAAAGCCAACTTAATGAGAATGACTATCTTCAATGCAATTTGCAAAAAGTGTGTGTGTGTGTGCATGTGCATGTTTGTATAGGTGTTAGTGTTAACTCTGCCAAGTGTGTGTCCACACATAATCCATGCAGGTTAAGTCTCCCTGAAGAAATTCAAACAAATGTCCAGGGTGTGCCCTCTCTGTCTTGGCAAACAATGAAACACTGCTCAAACAGCTATGTTTCAACTGCCAGACTTTTATTTAGAAATGTTTTTAGGTTCTTTTTCAAAATTGCTGTGCTAAAGTTGAGATTAGAAGAAATTCAACCCTGAAGCGACATTGCACCAGTAAACTGCACCAGGGGAACTGTTGCAGTTCAACACAAATGTTACAAGAGAGGTACAAACAGGACTGATAGTTGTTTTTACTATTTGTCTCAATATTTTGCTTTTGTGGCAGTTGCTCATTTTCCTTGTCAACTGTGTCACAGATCATAGTAATCTTTTATCTGTGTGAAGTTATACATTGTAGTTTGAGTTGGTTCTTGGCTTGTACTGATTAAAGAAATAGTTTGATAAAGGTTAAAGGCTGTAGTTTGACTCGTAGCTAGAAAGAGCTTTGACTGCAGGATGCAATTTGAAAGGTAGTTTAAGCTATAGCTCATACCTCCATGATGAATCTTCAGGAGTAGCTTCCACGAGGCATCAGAAGAGAGTGAAGTTTTCAATCAGAGTGCACAGACACTTCCTCACACGCTGTACTTTCACATACACTGTATGTAGTAAATGAAGGTAACAATAAACACTTAAGAACTTAAGAGACCCACAGTAATATAACTTTGCTTTCGTTCAAGTGTATACAGAGTGTTAGTGGTTAGCACTGCAAAATAACACAGGAGTCCATTGTTAGCACATTCCATTATGTGACCTAATCACACGTGACTTGTGCAATTGCATCATTAGCAATGTGAAATCAGCTCATTCATTCTTTCTCTTTCTTACCCTTTCCACTTCTCTCACTTCAGTGCTCTCTATCTGTTTCTCTCTCTTAGCTTTGGTGTAAACCCCTTAGTCACTCATAATATGTCTGCTTGAGACAATAACTTTTTTCTTGAGATAAGGCCAATTAACCTATTAATAAAATATCAATGGCTGTGTGCCTTGTCCCCATAAGACAATTACATCCTGGATTAGACTGTATTTGTGTAACCATATTGTACACTATCCATATTAAAAACTGCTAACAGGTAAGTGCTTTAACAACTACATATACTACATATCAAAATTGTATTATCAGAGTCAGTTATGTATCTGTACTCGTATCAGATCTCCAAAAAATACTTTATTCTATCAGAAGCTTAGAAGAATTCCTAACATTTGAAACAACAACCACTGAGAAGGTACATCTGTGGTTAACATACCTTAGGGCTGCTCTGTAACACTGCTTCACAACATTCATATTGTACAGCACAAAATACTATACCACACACAAGCAACAATATGATCTATTGATACAAGCAAGCTGTCTATCAACCTAAATTCACACAAACAATCAACAGACCATGAAACGCAAAAGGCCAAAGTGAGGTCCCCATCTTAACCTCACACCCACACATATCATTATTGCAATAAAATAAAAACACTACCTCTAACAAAGCAGTTTCTATGCACTGGAATACATACATTGCTGCTGGTGGGACACAGCCAGAGGTCTTCAACAGAGTGAGAGAATGTGTGACTGTACAAGCTGAGTCTTTGTGAAGGATGGGACAATAGTGGTCTGTGCTGTTGTTGGACCCAAAGGAGAACAGAGGCAGGGGTGGGCCTACCAAAGCTACTGGGGAGGGGGCACAGCGGTCCACTAGGATGAAGACCATCAGCTGCCAGGACACTAGAGCTATTCTCTCAGTGCCTGCTCCTCTGCTTACCACAGTACCACTAACATACTGACTATGTGTGTGAGTGTGTGTGTGTGTGTGTGTGTGTGTCAGTGAAGTTATAATGTCAAACCACAGTGCAATACTGAGAGGCTCTTTGTGCCATAATGTGCTGTCATTTACATTTAGCAAGCCTCAAGAAATGAAAACACCCACAGCAAAGGAGAAAGGACAGTTTTTTCGGTTCTTCAGGGGGTCTTTAGTAAGGACAGTGGTTCTATACATAACCATGAACACTTGAAGAACCATTTGCATGCTTAAATGATTCTTTGCATGGTGATGGTCCTTCAATGAAAAATGTGTTGTATATGGTTCTATAAAACCTTTTTGTAAATGGTGTTATATAGCACCAAAAAGGGTTCTTCTGTCTGACATCGTAAGTCAATTGAACAAACTTACAAAACTTAGGTTTGCCATACTTTCGGTGCAAGTTTCAGCTACTTGTTTATCCATTTATTTATATATTTATTTACTTACTTACTTACTTACTAACTCTTTGTTTTATCTGCAAACTACGTTCATCATTAATTTAACAGTCTATCAAAATGTTTAGAAAGTCATACAGTGAAGTGTTAAGAACCTACACATTTGGAATTACAGTGAATGCCTAGTATAAAAATATGCAATTCCTTTAAAAAAATGCATTTGTAGAGCAAAAGTAGGCCACAGCCTCCACAATCGAACACATCGCCTTATCTGTAAAGGGTCCTATCTCTTCATGACACTTCTACGGAAGCCTTCTGGTGCATCTCGGTATTTGTCTCTCGCGTGCCCTCTTGTGGGCACTGTGAAAAAATACTCAATGTAGTTTGTCTAGCTTTCTTGTGATGCATTCCTCATCCAGATCGATCAAACAGCACAACTGATCATGAAATGTTCTCACTTTACTGATGCCGTGCTACTTGTAAAATAGAGATAGTGAATAAAGTGGACAAAATGAGCACCCCCTGAATTCACATAAAACAGCACAAGAATTTCCCTGTTTAGTCCCTGGTCAGCGAAACAGAATGTGGGTGAGTGAGTAGATGGAAAGCTGCGATCATAAAGTAAGTGTGTGTGTGTGTGTGAGTGGGTGAATGAATGTGTTTTCTCTTGCCAGATCAAATGCAGAAGTGTTAGGCTTGTGTCACGATTATTATAATTATAGTAATTATTAGCTTTGGAATTAACAACTTATATGTTCTGAAGATATTGCAACTTTCCTTGTATCGGAACATAATCTATAATGTCATGTTATCATTATGAAAATGCGCTGCACTAAAGTTTTCAAACATGTATATATCCACCTACGTCTGTGGTCACTAACCCGCCTCTTGGAGAACTACCCTCCTGTAGGTTTCACCTCCAACCCAAATCTCACAGTTCTATGCCTCCTGAAGACAATAATTGGCTGGGTCACATGTGGGGGATAGACTCTAGGAGCAGAGTTAGCGACCAGTGACATTGAAATTTCTCAGCATTTTGGTATGCTACATAAGGTATCTACTGTGAACATCCATCGCACCTCTAGCCTAATTACACTGCAGGACAGTGATTAGAACAGCAGGGGGGTCTAACTGCAGTGACTACCTCTGAGACAGAGAGGGAGAGAGGGAGAGAGATAGAGAGAGAGATTATTCCAGCTTTTGTATATTTAATTTGCTTCACCTAGGACATGATTACGAGCTTGTAATAATTATTAGCTTAACTGTAAAAGGACTGATGTAAAATTTGAAGACACTAGAATTCTCCATGGGTTGAAGCACCATCTGTAGGCATCACGATGGGAGAAATTCCAACATTTAACTATGACTACGACATTAATCAGATGTCACTATGAAAGAACCTCTAATTACAAGTATAGGTTTATAATACAACTTCCAGGTCACTGCACCCCAAGAGCATTGAAATGAATGTCGAAACCAACAAAAAATATTAGGATAACTGAGAATATTCCTAATCGAACCAGTTGTAGCGCATGGATGGGCTAAGCGACTAAAGCGACCGTTTTTATGACCAACGGCAGGATAGCTGTATTACGTCACTTAAAACCTTGAGAAACTTAAATGTTTTAAAAGTATTGCAGATTAGCGTGCGTCAAATTCCTACATTAAGCATAATATGCACCGTTACGACTAATAGACTGCACAGCTGTTGTTGTATAAATTATACTGTTTTCCATCTCCTTGTATCTCTGTTAGCATGTCACACTATTATTCTACCGATAGCAGTTATATTTTTTTCGTTGTCGTTGTCGCCCCGGCCGAATTACCAGGCAGTGGCATGCGCGCCCCTGCAATTGTTTTCGTGAGTGATCTCCCGGAGCTGTCCCTTTCAGGACCACCTACAAAATATTTAGCGTGGTAGTACGTGTTGCTGCACAGCAACGGAGAGCGCGCGAAGGATCTGGGGAATTTCCTTCGTTAGAGATAAAGACATTGAAAATGGAACATCGTTGAAGCCGTTTTTCTCAGCACATCAGAAATCAAATGCAAGAGAACGCCGCTTTTTGGTAAACGAATGTGATTGTGCTATGGGAAGGAAACCCCTCAATCTCAAACAATGCCTGACAGGCATAGAAACGTCTAGGCGGCATGAGTGAAGATTCTGGGAGAGGGTTGGTCCACCCTCAGTCTCAGCTCACATGAGTCAGTTTAATAGAATCAGCGGGCTAATTTCTATCATCGGAATCACAGACGCTTCATACAGTAAGTGAACTCTGGCTTTCGAACATTTAAGAGAATGTGCCATCTGCTTTGTAAGATTGGACGTCGCGTTTAAAGACAAGCTAAGCCTATTTGCGTAAGTAGGGTAATGTGAAAACATTGGTCTCATTTGCAGTGACAGAGCTGAAATGCTCAGGTCTTTGATAACTGTTATAACTTTGGTGACGCAAGAGTGGCGTGCACCTCCTACAGCGCCAATAGAACTAAGTGATAATGGTTATTTTTTCTTGCTATTGTTTACTACACAAAATGAGGTTGTCAAGCAAGTGCATCAATTAACCGTTTCCTTTTCTTTCAAGATTTGCAACCAGTCACAATCACACGAGGAGCCTCAAGACATGACTGGACAGAGTCTCAAGGATTCAAACGTAGCCAATACTGAGAATAACGCCATTAGCATTAATGTCGGAGGCTTCAAAAGGCGACTTCTCTCTAACATACTGTCTCGCTTCCCTGAGACACGTCTTGCCCGTTTGCTTCGATGTCAGTCAAAAGAATCCATCCTTGAACTGTGTGACGACTATGATGATGCTGAAAAGGAGTTCTACTTTGACCGTAATCCTACGCTTTTTCCCTATGTTTTGAATTTCTATAACACAGGCCGTTTACATGTTATGGCAGAGCTCTGTATTTTCTCATTCAGCCAGGAAATTGAATATTGGGGCATCAATGAATTTTTCATCGACTCCTGTTGCAGCAACACCTACCACTGCAGGAAAATGGAGCCAGAACGGGAGGAATGGGAGGACAAAAGTGATGAAGGGAGCACTACTTCTTCCTTTGATGAAATCTTGGAATTCTACAGCGATGCTGCAAAGTTTGACGAGCAGCCACTGGGGAGTGTCAGAAGGAAAATTTGGCTAATGTTGGACAACCCTGGCTACTCCATACCTAGCCGTATCATCAGCGTATTCTCTATTCTGGTGGTGCTGGGATCCATAGCCACCATGTGCATGAACAGCATGAGTGAGTTTGCCCTGCTGGACAGTGAAGGCCTGCCTCAAGAGGACCCCCGTTTTGAGGCTGTGGAGCATTTTGGAATAGGCTGGTTCACTTTTGAGCTGGTTGCCAGGTTTATGGTGGCACCGGACATCCTCCACTTCTTCGAACACCCACTGAACACGATTGACCTGATATCCATTCTGCCCTTCTACCTCACGCTCCTAATTGACCTAGTGGCTGAGAGCAGTCCTGCTCTGGCCAACCTTGGCCGTGTAGCACAGGTGCTTCGGTTGATGCGGATCTTCCGAATCCTAAAGCTGGCACGTCACTCCACGGGCTTGCAATCACTTGGAGCTACACTGAAAAACAGCTACAAGGAGGTTGGACTGCTGCTTTTATACCTGGCAGTAGGGGTGTCCTTCTTCTCTGTGATGGCCTACACCATCGAAAAGGAGGACAATGACGGACTTACCACCATCCCAGCCTGCTGGTGGTGGGCCACGGTTAGCATGACCACAGTGGGCTACGGAGATGTGGTGCCAGGGTCCATTGCAGGAAAGCTCACTGCCTCAGCCTGCATCCTGGCAGGCATCTTAGTGGTAGTGCTGCCCATCACGCTTATTTTCAACAAGTTCTCTTTGTTCTACAAAAGGCAGAAGCAGCTAGAGATTGCCATGAGGAGCTGTGATTTCGATGAGGGTATTAAGGAAGTGCCCTCTGTGAACCTGAGGAACTACTACGCTCATAAAGTAAAGTCTCTTATGGTCAGTCTGTCCAACATGAGTCGCAGTTCCCCCAGTGATCACAGCCTAAGTGAGTCTCTGCAGTAGTTCAGGTATCTGAAAGCAAACTCCTTTTTTTGGCTACAGTTTAAGTGTAGAGCATTCAGTTGTACCAAATAGTTCTGTCCTACCAGCAAAACATTCTCATCTGATGTGGCCCAGATTTGCCTAGTTTAGTTTTACTTTCTGAAACCGTAACCGATTTGTATATTTGCCATCTAAGGTCTTGAAAATAGTTTGTTTTTCACAATAACAGAATGCAAGTGTTGATCCAGATTTAGATTAAAAAAAAATATATAGATTTTTTTTCTTTTCACCAATTATATTCACTGTGTTTTAAAGAAACATATCCCCACAGAGCTCTAGACTTTTAGACATCCAGTATCTACTAACTCATTGAAATATGGACAGAGTCCTATTTCACTTCTCAATCAGTGGTTTATACCATGTTGGTTCAGTGAAATTCGGTCTGTAACAATGTTTCTTTCTCTGTTGGAGTTTTGTATTTGAATACTGAAAAAGTTTATTCAGTGTTACATACTCTAGATATATGGTCTCTAAATGTGCAGGAGGACATACCCCCTAGCTAGTGGTGTCTAGTGGAGTTTTATGTTGTTTAAATGTTGTACAGTGGAAATACAGTTGATAAATCACATGCAGTTGCTAAATTACACCATTAGGACAACAGATTTTTAAACGAAATAATTTGCCTTAAACATTTTCCTTCTGTAAATCTCCAAAGCTGACACAGACAGACCTAATTGATATAGAAGGCTATCATCTGAGACACAGCAGCAGGAATAAAGTAATTCGGCAGGCTCAGAAAAGAGCAAAGACTAGGCTTTGTGTTTTGAGGGAGTGGGCACAATGATAGAAGTTTCAAGCAAACAGCTTCAAGTGTTACATTCATTTATACTGTCACAGTAATAAAGGCTTGTTGAGGGGAGCAATAACCAATACACGTATGGCTGAGCTTAATCATACAGTATTATCAAAATTCAGGAGTGTGTTTGTTGGATGAAATTACAGTCTCCTAAGCTTTTTTAAGCTATATTGCTACTTATACAGTTCGGCTCCACTTTCTACTGGATCTGGTGACTCACCAGATCCAGTAGAAAGGGAAGTAGAGCTGTATAAGTAGCAAGATAACTTATAAAAGAGCATAGGAGTGCTCTTTTTTAAGTTATATTGCTACTTATACAGCTCAGCCCCCTTTCTACTGGATCTGTGACTTACTAGATGTGTGAAGCTGTCTATGTGAAATAAAACAAGCCATAATAGCTTTAACCAGATTTATGCAGTGACACATTTTCTTCCAGAGAAGGCAATGTTTATTTCTACATTCTAGAATTAAAATGAGTGAGCTTCATTTGAAATAACTACTGAACTTAGCAATGAGTTAAAAAAGTAAACAAACCTAAATCTGATCCACGTAGGTGCATTCAAACATTAGCACCAAGAATGTTGTATGACTGACAAATGGGAACATAATTTTGACAGGGTGCTGTTATAAAAACTGCTGTGAGCCATAAGAGATCAGCATGCAGGATGACAGATTCAAAATACTAGTTCAGCTAGCCACCTGTCAAGCAAATTGGCCTGATACCATGCTCCCTATGCAAGTGAGTTTTGCATGCATGAAAAGATGCAAAATTAAAAAAATAAACTGGCCCCAACAGCCAGATGTAGATGTTCTTATAAAGAATGTCACATGGGAAGCTGGAGTGTGCTGGGATGCTGATGTGTTTGTGCTGATTTAAGATAACTTGGCATTTTTTGGTTCTATGTAAGCATGGTATCTGTATTTGTTCAAAAAGCACTTTAGCAAATTCTTGAGGCTTTTCCTGGCCATTGTCTTCTCTGTGTGTGTATGTTATACATCAAAATGTACTTAACCCTTGAAGAGGGTTCTTTTTCTTATTGTCTGGTTTCAGTTATTCACAGCAGCACTTAAGTGTACTAGTAATCTCTTAACAGAGAATGAGGCCCAAGTATAAACTGTGCTGGGTTAGACAGAATACCTTTTTCTGACAAGGTCTTGCCAATAATCTTTATTATATAATAAAATCCCCATTTTATTAAATCACTGACTCAAAGTGTGAGCTTCTTTCCATATTTCTCAACATCCCATTTTGTATTCATGCAATAATTTCTGCAAATCCAAAAGCTCTTGCATTACCACAGCTTATTATCTGCTCAAAAAGTATTAATCAAAGAGCTCTAACAGCCAGCTGTTGCTTTTTCTATGTAACTGGTCATTATAAGTGAAAAATATCTCAAGGCACACAATAAAAATACCACATAAAGATGCTTGTGGTGTTACCATTTCTTGTGATTGGCCCTCTGTTACTACCTCAGAGGAACAATACTTACTTAAGGTTGTGATAATTTCACTTTATAGACAATCTTCCAAAGTAAGCCTCGGATGTTATTCGTCATTGCCTATTACTTTGATGCCTGACCTAACGCATTCAGAAGATGCTGCCTCTGATTCATCCTTTGCTGTGCTCAATTGAGCAGCTCCTGTGCTGAGCAATATTGAACTAGCCTTAGCTAATCTAGCCTTAATGGTTCCCTCGTTAATGCCTATGACATCACAGCACATCTGGAGCTCCCTTTTTCATTTGCTAGTTTCACAGTTTTCTTTGTTCCAATCTGCTACTGTGGAGCTGGCTGCTGGGAAGCTTAATGCTGCTCTTCTTAAAGTAATAGCTTGACAAAAAAAATTATTTAAGCCATTTTTCATTTACCCCAGATGTAGCAGATCGGCTGAGACATGTTTGATTTGATTCCCAAATGAAATGAAGTAAATAAGTTGTTTACTGAATAATTCTTTATTTGTGTACACTCAAAATTTTAAAATATTCCTGAATTGACCATATTATCGAAAGTAGCACACCCAAACAAAACAAAATCAAAATTTAACATTACTACTGAAGCAGAAATGTCTGAGACCTGAGACTGATTACATTATATTCTGCTAGTATCTGAACTACACATCTTTCTGTTTCATATCTTTTTTTCATATCTGTTTTCATTCAGCTTTAGGTTTAATAAAGCACTAACATGCTTATTATTCTAAAACAAGACACTAAAATGGACATCATGAAAGAACACCATACTTACTCAGCTCTGATTAGTTAGCGAGTCTACCAACAGTAACTTATCTCTAAATTAGTGCTATAGTGCTGGAGTCCGAACAAAACAGTTCTTTAACTACCTCAGGGGTCTCACACTACTGGCCCACGGGTCAGCCATGTGTCTGATTCAGTCATCACACAGTGAGAGATGCAGCAAGTCAGAATTAAAATATGAACAGAATTATCAAATTATCAGTTTGCTAATAAGCACTGACTAAGATGCATTTAAATGAGTGTATATATATGGAACACTTTTTCCCTATAGTTTTTCTATCAGCCCCTTTTAGAGAAGACTACCTGGCTAGTTGTTCACATGTAATTTGAGTTTACATGTTTTATTTTAAATGAAGTTTAATTGATCTTTCCATGATGGCTTAACTGGGCAAATCGGAATGTTTTCATTTCATAATAAAAATGCATGTATGTTGTTGGGTTATATTTAGTTGAATTTAGGTAATGATTCTGAATACATTTTAGAGAAGAAGCGAAAGCTAATATCATTTATTAATATATATAATGTATAATGAATGATAAGAAACCACAAATGTCAGAGGCTTTTCATTAAAATGTTTGGTAAAGATTTTAATATCCAATTGAATTAAGTCAACTTACATTGAAGTTACATTTAAGTAGAATTGCAAAGGTGGAGTTTTTGCGAGTGCTAGGAGTGGGGAGTTTAATACTGTTAGAAAAATGTTGGAATACGCTACATCAGTTAGTTGGTCACCAAGACTCAGCTATTGTGCAATTAATGTTGAATTGATCAGTAATTTATGAGTAGTTATTATAAGAAACCATAGTTACTAAGTAATTCTCTGTGAGACATAGTCGTAGAGTGGTTGTTGTTTAGTCAATAGTCAGTTACATTAATCATCAGCTCACTATTACCTACTGAGTAATTAACTAGTGCTCCTTGGTAGTTAAATAGTAGTTACTTAAATGTTAATGCAGCACTACTCATTAGTCCCTGCTTAGTTCCTGAATAGTTACCTATTAAGTGTGAAACAGTATTGTAAATTGTTACTGAAAGTTATCCCCTATATGGACAGTTGGCTCGTCTGTGCTTCGACAGAACAAGCTGTGGACACTAGCTCTCCTGGAATATTGAGTTTGGGGTTGTAAATCAGAACAACGTAAGAATTTACCTTGAATATTTCATAAATCAGACAGACTATTTCGTCAACCAGTTCATTAGCCTATCTCTGTTTTCCATGATGGCCTCACTGACTCCCACACATCTTGTTCTTTCCTGTGTCAGGCTAGGTGGCCTGACATTTATTGCATATGATGACAGCAGCTTCAGTGGTCATCTTCTTGGGCCTACTGCATTCTTTTTTAGTGCAAGTTTTTTGGTGCTACCCAGTGTTTCTGTTTATTTTTGAATCAGACAATTTGGCTATGGACTTCTTTTATATTAAGAACCAGTCATCAAATTAGTAAGTTCCTTTCTCATTGCATACATCTTGAATTTCCCAACCCTGTTTCACTATGAGCTGATGTACTGTAAGCCAGCAGTCCAGGAGGCTATCATGACTATCATCCTTCATGACACAGGCCATGTATGACTGCCACAGGAAAATATTTTATTAGAAGTGTGTCGATATCTGGTGTGACCCCAATGTTGTGTCCACTTTCTGTAGCACTACAGTTCCTGCAGAACCTGCTTGAAAAAGGTTGTTTCCTACCCAGTTAGCGTGGCTGATGGCACAAACATATGGTTGGGATATCCCTAGGTCCACTTGACTTTTCCTGTTATGCACAGGTCACGCCAATGTATTTCTACATCCTCGGTAATCCTGAATGTGTAATTCACTGGTATGAGATCTCAAACTGAATGTCAAAGTGTCCACTGTGCTCCGCACCACCTCCAGGGGTCATCCAGAACTCAGGTAACCACAGTTACATTTT